TCTTTTTTGTTGTTTTTTTTCTGCCAACATGCTCCCACTTGTCACAAATCACCACCAACTTAGCAGGGAGGCAAGCTGTGACATGTGCTGCTGCAAGGAGGATTAAGATGATGCCATTTTTTTATATATATATATTAATAAAATAAAGACAAGGCAGAGGTGTGGGAAAGGTGTCAGGATCCCACACATTGTTGCTACAGAATGCATATCCAACTGTGAAAGTGTGAGAGCTCCGTTTGCAGAATAAATACTGGGAGGCCCAGCATGTGTAAAAAAAAAAAAAAAGAGATTTCACACCCTGCTTGTCTCCTTTTTTCTCCTTTCCTTCACTCCTTTCATCCTTTCTCTAAAAATAGCTCCTTTTGATATTTTTTGTTTTCCCTTTCCTCGCTCCTCCTCTGTTGCCTGCCAGTTTGGTTGCATTTTTATCAGGCATATTTTTTCTGACAGGCAATTTTAAAGATTGCATCTCCGTTTCGGAGCGAGTCGTGGCGACTCCCGAGACGGACCCCTGGCCCAGCCCGGCCTGGCCCCGCCTGGCCCTGCTCTGCTGGGGTCATTTTCACAACCTGTGAAACGATTTCAGTTACCAGCAGCGCTAACAAGCTTTGCTAGGCGAGCTGGTATCTGAACATGATCGTTCAGACGGCTGAAGGCTAATCTGCACCACATGACAGTGAGCCTTTGAGCTCTCCCTCTCCTTCTCTCTCTCTCTCTGTCTCTGTCTCTCTCTCAGTGGGCCTCTGTGTTCCTGTACTCCTAACACACAGCTGACACCTTGCAATCTATTGACATGGTTGGACTGGGCTTGAATATCTGAGAGGTGATAAGCCCAACCGGGTCTGCACTCCGAGTTGTTTTGTTATCTCTGTGGAAAGATAGCCGTGGAATCCGCAAGCAGGTTAGTGGAAGAAAAACATGGAAGAGGAAAGCTTTGCTGCTTTGTATTAAATATCCAGATGTATTTAGTGATTTTATTTTACATTATCTTGAAGGGATAGTTGATATTGTTCAGGTTTGGTTGTATGGCGTTTTCATCGACCACATAATTTTTTAATCAAACGTTTTTGTGTTAGTTTGAGGTATTTCGCAAAACTGCAACGGAAACACTTTTTTTGTGTGACAGTAGTCACGCGATCAACAACCAGATGTTGCTACTGACGGAAACCACAAAAAAGAAGATGACAGGAAGTGGTAGGATGATGTTTTACCACACCAACAAACTAATTTACGTGCGAGTTTTAATTACATTTATTATTTAATGGAAACACAGGAATTGCCTAATTTTCTATTTCCGACATTAGTGAAATATCGGGAAACGCGGCTAGCATCTGAACTTTAGCATGCAACAGTCTGAGTCAAAATGAGATTAGCTCTCACCGGAGAGTTTGTCAAAACGAAAACAGTTCCAAAGCAGATTTCTACCGATCTTACAAGAAGCTAGATCTAAAATTACACAGCAGTTTGTAATTGACAAATCTTTTTTTTTTTTTTTTTTTAATGTTAAAGTCATAGTTGTTCATCAGCCCTTAAAATTATAACGTTACACTGAGCGGCTCCAATGTTAGTTGTTGTTTATAGAAAAGAAAATCAACCTTTTCTTCCCAAGCTTGACATTTGCTACCAATATAAAAGTAAGTTGCAGATTATCTTCTAGTAGAATATACATAGAACAGGAGATAAGGAAGGAGCACAACCAAAATTAGCTCAACTCTTCAGTAGCAACTAACCTCTGCTCTCTGTTGTAGCTAATATACGGAGCTGCCGATAACTCCATCGAAGCCCATGTCAAAAAAACAAAACACAAACCGTCTCTTTAAGAAGATCAGCTGTGTTGAGCTGTTCCAGTTTGGTGCTCCAACAAAGGAGGAGGAAAATACAAAGAAACAAGTACAAACCCCTGACCCTCATAGGAAGAAGAAAGGAGAATTGTATGTGCCTGATGAAGCAGATGCAGAAGACGGGTCAGGTTTCAGTCTCAAGCATAATCTTAAATAGACTTAGTTTATATGTGAAATGCAAGGCGTCTTGTTTTGTATGCGCTTCACACACATCATGGACAAATGCAGACCGTCCACTCCACCTCCCGCCCCGTTCTTTCAGCTTGGCTTGAGAGTGGAGGTAATGGTGGAGGTGCCAGGCGGGGAACGGCAGCAGCCAGCAGGAGATCAGAGGAATTGTTAACGGAGCAAAACTGAGAGAAGCTCGCAGAGCGCAAATCTGTCAGCCCGGTCAGGTCGGCTCTTTGTCCGTGGTGAACCAGCCGATGTTTATTCCGACCCAGTCAGGGGTGAATTTTAAGCTTCTGTTAAGGGGGCAGCATTATTTGTTTCTCAGGCACATGGAGGCATTTTGTAGCACAATCAAGTAGCTGTGTTAACCTACGTATATCAAATATGACTGGAAAAAAATTTGATTTCATAATTTTGCGCCTTGAAATTGGGCCTTTGTCTGTTTAAAAACTCCTGATTTTTCTGAAGCTCTGCCTTCAGGAAGCCATCACCACATGGCTCCTCTGTTAACCCTTTAGCAACAGTTTTGACCTACGTTGCTCTGAGGAGTAGGTTGTATGATGCTAATTGTTGCTGGCTAGTCTGAAGGAGCCGAGAGGGGCAGGGCTGGTTTGTATGGCGGGAGCTCAAAGGCTTGAAGCTGCAGCTCAGAGGAGGAGCTTCACCTCAAAGGTCCAACCAGGCGGTTTGGAGAGCTGAATAGTTGCCATGGAGATTTAAGATTGCTCAAACATGCATGTAAGAATCAAGACGACACTCCAGGTGTGTTTTGATGAGGGAATAACATTATAACATGATGTAAAGCTCAAAGGAGGCAATTTTACATAATACTGCCCCTTTGAAGAGACAGCAATTATTCTGTATGTAAACTTATGATCCTGAAGACATTAATAAATCTGTGATTGACATATTCTTTCTCTTGTTATTGTGGCATTTGGTAAATAACAATATTTTTTTATAATTCTAACTGACCTAAAACAAGACAAATTCGGTCCAGTCACCTTCAAATAGTGAGGAAAAACATGTTTGTGTCTTTTTATGTAAACCTTTGGTTTGAGATGTGCTGTTTCTGTTTGGTGTTGCCTTGCTCGAGCCTTAACTGCACTTGTGCTACTCAAGCCCATAATTATCCAAATCCCTGTCAAGAGAAAACTGAATTTAACTCCCACCATTTTCTCAAGGTAATTAAAGTTCATTACTTTGTTTTCTTTCTGGATCTGGTCTCAGCTTTGTGCTTTTCCGTAGAAGAGCAGAAAACGGCAAATCCATCCAGGGAGGGTTCAGTGTTTTAACCTTATATGTATCAGCTTGAGAAAAGTACTTTTTTTAAAACTACAAATCTTTGCAAAAAATATTCATAGTTCAAGTTTTGTTGTTTGTTGACGTTATAACCACAAAGTTTCATGTATTTTATTGAAACTGGATGTGGCAGAACAACACAAAGCACCATTTTATATGTAAAAATGGTTCTAAATATTTTCACAATCAGTCACAAATAATCCCAAGGACATTGGTTCTTTTCAGAGTGGACAGAAATCATACGTGGGGTACCACAAGGTTCAGTTCTGGACCCCCGTCCTATTAACATCCACAGGTACAGCCTCCCGCTAGCTCAGGTTATAATAAGTAATGCAGATGATATACAGCTCTACATTACAGGTGACTCTGAACCCACCAAAGCCCCGAATAAATGTTTAGAACAGATAAATGTGTGGATGTGCCAAAACTTTCTCCAGCTGAACAGAAACACAACTGAAGTTATTATCTTTGGATGTAAAGAGGAGCGATCTAGGGTCAATGCGCAGCTTTAATTATTACAGCTAAAAACCAGCGATCAGCCCGAAACCTGGGAGTAGTGATGGACTCTGACCTGAACCTTCATAGCCACATTAACATGGTTACAAAGTCGGCCTTCTATCACAGCCTTTGTGATAGAAAGTCACACTCTGAGGAACATCTCCAGGATTAGAGGACTGATGTCTCAGCGCGATCTAGAGAAACTCATCCATGCGTTTATCTACAGTCGCATTGATTACTGCAACAGCGTCTTCACAGGTCTGACTAATAAATCAATCCTCCAGCTGCAGCTGATCCAGAACGCTGCTGCTGTTCTCACTAAAACCAGGATAACTAAAACCACTTAACACCAGTTTTAAAGTCCCTTCACTGGCTCCCTGTAGCTCAAAGAATAGACTTTAAAACACTGTTAGTTTATAAATCACTGAATGTTTCAGTACTAAATACGTTAAAGATCTGCTGTTGTCATAGCAACCTTCCAGAACCTCTCAGGTCCTCTGGTTCTGGTTCTGCTCTGCATCCACCAGATCCAGAACCAAACATGGAGAAGCAGCATTCAGCTTCTATGCACCACAAATCTGGAACAAACTATCGAAGATAAACCCCGCCTTTAGGAGTTGCCTTTGACTCATAATCACTGCATCATTGATCAATATGTTTGATTTTCTTGACCATTTTGATGATGATATTTGACAAAATGTGATGTTTGGTTACTGTGTTAAGTGACCTGATATAAATGACATTTTGTTGTTGTAAAGTGTCAAATACTTTTGCGAGGTTCTATATAAACTTTACTCTTAGTGTGGTTATGAGGAAACCCTTGTAATCACTGGGCTATTGTCTGTCCCTCTCTGTGTACAGCACCCCGTCCCACACTCGTTTGGTGACCTTGCAAGTCTTTCAGTAATCAGTCTGCTTTTTTCTGCTCCTCTTTTATCTCCATCCAAGGCCAGCCTCTCTGTTGTAGGTGTACAGATAAAAGGGAACAGACAGGAGGAGGGTTTGTGGGGATTAGAGTTGTGTGAGGTCAGTCCTCTCTGCCTCCTCTGAACGTGAATTTATTGCTAAAATAAAAGCTTCACGACCTCAAACTGCTTCTCGCACATCAGCATAACGCTTCTCTAACTTATCAGGTGACATTATTTTAAGCGCACGCCGCTGTGTTCACGGTGACCTCCCCTTGTGCCGCAGGGTCCCGGCGGAGCTGACGAGGTGCCGTGTCCCGACCCAATCCCGTCCCAGCAGCCCAGGGCCCAGCACAGCTTCGTCCAGGAGCACTTCCAGGCTCAGTACAAGTGAGTTTTGTCCTCCACTGCAAGCACACCACCATCACATCTGCTTCGAATAAATCCTGCGACACGGCAACAAAGGATCAGCGGAGCTCTTACGGCTACCCGGTGATTTCCCCCATGAAGAGCGTGGGCGTGTGAAGCACTTGTTGATGGATTTTTTTATTTTATTTTTTTTATTGTCCGAGAGTGGCTTGGTTGTTTGGTACATCATGTGTTTGATTTTCTCCTAGAAGATTTGTGTGCTCTGTATTTGACCAGCTCAGAGAGGGGTGTCTTTTATTGTGCCTGAGCCAAAATGCCAGCAACTCCCCCAACGTACTAACCTGTTATTTGATTTGAGTTATGTTTTCCATACAGTATTTGGTGCTGTTGTGTTTTTCAGATTGTCTAAATGTCAACTCAAAGGTCATAACTTATAAAGCTACTTGCACACAGGCAAGGTTCACATTGTTGTGACTTTTAAAGGGATAGCTTGGATTTTTTTTTAGAGGTTTAAAATACCATGTGTGGTTAGTATTTTATACTTTTTTGTTTAAGTCGTCAGCTTAGATAGAGAGAATTTCTGGTGCTTCATTATTATTATTATTAAACATAGTGAGACTTTGTTCCGTAATGCACACAGAGGAGGCACTGAAATCCCACATTTATAAAATACGAATCAATGAAAAACACACTCTGAAATATTTGAATGCACACGATTGGTAAAGATTTATCCTGCTGATGTTAGCTAGCTGTTGTACTGACAAACATCACATCTCTGGTAGCTTCACAACAACACATGCCAGGAGTAACAGATGAGATTATAAATATCCAAACTATTAGTTTGGTCTGTATTCAAGCCTGTAGAAAAAATGTGCTACCATACTCAAAAAGTACCAACCATGCTAAGGTGAATGTAGATCTCACAGCTTGGCATGGCACATTGAATTATACATTTTCACTGTCAAACACCCAATTTGAGGTACTTCAAAAAATCACAGATTAGGCTTTAAGTCGTACAGGATGAGATGTAAGCAAAGTCCAGCTGATTTCTATTTAACCAAATATGGTCACAGATTGTTGGACCTGGAAAAAAGCCTGCACTTTCTTTTATAGCTCATTAAGTAAAGTTCAAACCAGAATATGATGCAATTTTTTGTGGTTTTTAAAGCAATTCAGAGCTTGCTATCAGAAACCAACCGGTGAAATCATTAGACTCTGGGTCAGTTTAACCTTTTCCCAATCGGTTTACTCATTTTGTTGCCATTTGCACTTTTCTTTTTTTCATCTCATTTCATTTAATCTATTCAAACTGTAAATCGACATGCTGAACCCATGTGGTCAACCCAGCCCGTATCAGCTTATTTTTCTTTTAAGCTATCTCTAAAAAGATTTAGCTATCTATATTTTGACTTACAATATTATAGCCATAGAAATACACAAATTTGACATATAGTTCATTTCACCCTATGTTGTTTGACTATTTCAAAAATGAAGCTTTCTGGCACTTTATCAAACCAAAGTATGTTTGATTTTGAACCAGTGTCACGTTTTTCCACTGGAAGAACGACGTTCCCAAACACCAAATCTGGTTCTAATAGGCACTGTGGAGCACCCGGTTCTTCAACAGGAACCGTGACGTCACCCAATGGGTTGGTCAAACCGAAGACAAAGAAACAACAAGGACTGCAGCAAACAGGGGCCATAGACACATTCGTGGTGTCCGCCATCTTGCTCCTAGGTTTTTCTTCCGGGTTGTGTCATCAACGCCCCCTGTTGACACATGATTGGTTCCCAAAATGGATGGAAACGGGCATCATCTCTCTACGAAACAAGAATCAATGGTTGTCAGAGAGGATAAGAAACGTCCCCTGGGCAGTACCTCACTCTCAGCAGCTAAGAAAGATTCTAGCTTCCTGCTCCACTCCAAACTGCTACATCCGACTTTTCTGCGTATTAAAATGATCCAAACTTAAAAAACTACAACGTGACAAAGCGGCATTATGTGAGTCTCTCCTAGGTGAGAAGAATTGTATTCGTAACTCTCTGCTGTGCCTTTACTTGTGCTGAAATAATTAGCATACTTAACTGTGCCAGTGGCCAAGTTTTTTTTTTTTAATGTTTTCATAATAGTCTGTTAATGCCTCTGTAATTCGTTTCATAGGGAGATTTTCTGTAATCTGCTCTCGTAATCACAAATGCATTTAGCTGTAAACCAGTAAGGTTATCAGCACACAGCTGGAGGTCCTCATGGCTTCCATTAGTCAGAGATCGAGGAGATAAAAATAAAGCAGTTATTATTAGACACTGTGTATCTGTTGGATGGGGATTTTTTAGCTCTTGTCTGAATGTTTGGTCTGGAACATTCACTTTCTTTTCACTTTTATTATTGGATCACATACAAAAGTCTACACACCTCATGTAAAGGAAAACATCAAAGTTCAACTTTCATATGGTGTATATTTCTGTACAATTTCACTGGTCAACAAATAATAATAAAAATCCAAGTTGCACAGCGTTAAACTTATACTTGGATGAAACGCCTTCTATTTAATTTCAGCATTTATTCTTTACTGGGAGTGCATGGGCTTTCCACGTCTTTACTTGGCCATATTTCCCCCACTCTGCCTGGTAAAAGATTAGCTAAGAGATTTTCGTACAAAAAAGGGTTCAGACATTTTATACGTTTGGTTGAGCTGCGTTCCCTTCAAGTTCATTATGTAAAAAACATTTTTTATCTCCACAACACTGACCACATGATATGCACAGTGGTGGGCGCCGCTAGCTAAACAGTTATCTGTGCTAACCCTAAAGCACTAAACACAAACATTAGTTCTGCTAACAAGCTACACCAACATGGTATTTAATGGAAGCTAAACCGCTACCGACCATGTGTCAATGCAATGCTGTGTATCGCCCTCAACAGGGTCAGATTGGTCATTACACATCCACCTGTTTGTGCTTCAGGAAGTCATTGTTAGAAACAGACCTTTCACTCATGCTTTTGGTTTTATAGTTGTTGAGCTAATTTAGCTAAATGATGACGGTAAATTAGCGCTTTAGAATTTATGTGGAAAAATTACTTAAGGGAAATCTAAGCGTTTTCCAAGTTAGCTGAAGCGCTAATTGAAAAATCAGCTCCGCTATTAGCACATTAGCGGATTAGCCGATGTGTGTATACCATCTTATGCGGACGATGCTTTTTTTACACTCATCTCCTGACTGACACTTTCGTCTAGTGAGATTATTGTTCAACAACTTATTTACATATTTCTAATGTCTATTTTTATTATTTCCGTTTTCTTGTCGTCGTGACGTGTGCTGATGCCTTTCTTGGTCACACTTGTGAAAGAAATCTTGATCTCAACAGTGTTTTTATCATTAGGGTTTTAAAAAAATTAAAAATGTTGACCCGTCCATTGAAGACAGCTGAACTTCACTTCGACTTCATTAGGTTCTCCATAAATCACAACTGTTATGTACCCAGAACCACATTATGCTGAAATCGAATCAAAATTTGCTTCAGAAAATTATTTGTCTCGGGGTGATGTGCACACTTACGCAACCAGGTTACTTCAGATGTGGTTTTGTTTTTCAGTCGCATGCTATATATGCCAGATAAAAAAGGTAGAAAATGCTCTAAGCAGTCACATTTTTTTTACCTCAAAGACCTTACACAGCCCTTTGAGAGGTGCTGTAGGTGACATCTTTCTTAGATTCGCCCTCCATCGCTGACAACTCATACTGCTAAACACTTTATCCAATAAACCGTTCAAGAAGCTGACCAATTACGACAACGTTGGATCTGATCTGACGGAGGTTTGCAGCCGTTCTACGCAGAGCAGCTAATGTCCCTGCTTGTCTGCGCCGCCTTCCATCTGCTAATTCCTCGGGAAATTGACAGCTCTGTGTGACTACCAGTAATACATCTGTTGGAGCGCGGCTCTTAATTGCCAACCTCGCTGTCAAATATTTCAGCGGTGACACGTTGGGGTGTGTCTTACACAGCAACAAGCACAATTAGCAGGCTTGCAGGCCAAATCTGTGCCTCCTGTCTCCCACTCAAACACCGTCCCAGCCAAGGAGAGTGGGTGAGATGGTGCAGAGAGAAGAGTCAGAGTCTGTTTTTAAGATTAGAACAACAAAACAAAAAAACCTGTAGACAACGTGTATCAAGCAGGGTGAAAACAAATACCAGTAATCACCAGGAATCGACTCAGATCAAACACTTCTTGACTTGTGTCCTGCTTTCCTCCCGCTTGTGTAACGTTTCTCCATGCAGTGTCCAGCGTGAGGCAATGTCTGGAGTTGACGGACTGGAGATTTATTCCTGTAATAGCCTGGTTTGTCCAGTGTATAGTCATCGCAGCCATTAAACATGCCCAAACATGTCAAATCACAGCCAGAGCCAGAGGAGTCAAGCGATATTTCATCTTAATTTGTTTTATGCCGTCATAATATGGACCAGGTTGTATTGGATTAATTTTGTTAGATTTGCGATTCATTTAGTGAAATATGTTGATTCATTTTTCTGTTATAAAATGCACATACTTTCTGTCAACACTTATGTATTTATATATGTATTTATACTCCTTGAGAGAAGTGCTCTGGGCAAATTAGACCAAATTAACCTATTAGGCCAACATGAAACACACTTATGCTGCAATGGACGATTCAGATCTAAGCATATCCATGTGTTTGAATGACGTAGTCAAAGTCCTGGCCTAAACTCAGGGTGTTTTCACGTCTGATAGTCCGGTAGACTCGGTTTGATTGAGGACCAAAGCTGGTGAGATTCGCTTTCACACTGCGCTGTGTGAAACGATCCAAACGTTTGAAACCTGTTCCCCTCCTCGACTGTGGTGGCGCTGCACCAACAACCACTGAGAGAAATGACACGGACACCTCTGAAAAAGACATGAGATCAACTTAGTTTTCCGTAAAATGTAAACAAAACTGGAGTAGGGTCAGATTCTATCGGTTGTAGGATTTCTCTGTCATCGTTGGCAAAATATGACAAGCCA